TATATATATATATATATATGGGTACATATGTGTTTTTTTCATAAACCAAGTCATCTTGACAAACTGTATGTAGTATCTATAAGTAAATGATCTGTAATTTTGAAGTGTGGCAGTTAAGAAGTTAAAGCAATATAGAACAAATAGAAGAGAATATATAGAAATAGTGAGAAAGAGTGGCCATGAAAACCTGAATCCTGATTGTTTTTTGTGCAAAACCTTTATTACAACCATTGTAAGTGAACCACAGGTGAAAAACTAATGAAAAAAATAAATAATAATACAACCATTCTGAACAATAAACGAAAATATATAATACGTAGGTAGGTGCACAAAAACACACACTCACAGGTAGTTGCCCACACACACACACGGACGGACGCACGCACACAAACACAAAACAAAACACATGCATATTTACACATAAAAACATACTAACACAAACACACACACACAAAATTCAAGACAAAAAAACACAGCCACAAACATGCGCACGCAAATACAAACAAACAAAACCACACACGGGCACACAGTTCAGTGTGGTCTATTTTGGACGACAGCAGCTGGCGATATTAATTTTGTTGTGCTGAGAATCTGAAGGGTTTTGGCTGTTTTTGTGCGCCGGCGTCCAGAGCCCATCTGATAACACTGATTTATGTGGCCACACCATAATATTCATTACAGATGCTGGAAACAACTGATTACAGGGAGAAAGTCTGCAGATTAAGAACTCTTGGCTTTCTGCTGACACTCTGTTCATCGCCTCGGTGGAATAAACACACACACACGCACACGCACACACACACACACACACACACACACACACACACACACACACACACACACACACACACACAAAAACAAGTGCTCTGATTGGCTGTAATGTTCAACTACTGTATTGACCTCAAGGCACTGTCAGAAGAGATTCACTGTAATGTAAATGTAACGGACAGTTTCCAGCATACGCGAGGGTCAAACATTTCAGAAAAAAACATCATCAGTATCACACATATCTGTTCTTTATTGACTGTGTTTCTCAAGCCTTTCTAAAACATCCTGATTTAATTATTTTCTCAGTTTGTACCACACATTTCTCATCAATGTATACTGTACTCATTAATAAAAGTAAAGAAAATCATATTCTACTATGAAAGTAATCTACATTTAATCAAATGCAGCCAGATTACGTTACCATATTGTCTGACTATGTTACCATGAAAAATAATCTAAATGTAATCCAAAAATAGTCAATTTAGATTACCATAAAGTAATTTAAATGTAACCAAATGTAGTCAGATTACAATATCATAAAAGTAATCTAAACGTATCCAAATGGAGTCAGATTGCGTTACCATAAAGTATTATACTTGCAATTCAAATGTAGTCAGATTACATTACCATAAAGTTATTTATACGCAATCAAAATGTAGTCTGATTATGTCACCATAAAGTAATCTAAACGTAACCTAAAATAGTCAGTTTACGCTACCATAAACTAATTTAATTGTAATCAAACGTAGTCAGATAATCCAAGTGTAATCTCATTATGCTACCATAAAGTAATCTATATCCTATTCGAATATAGTTATATTATGTTACAATAAATTATTCTAAATGTAATCCATATGTAGTCTGATTACATTACCATAAATTTATTTATACGCAATCCAAATGTAGACTAAATACGTTACCATAAAGTAATCTATGCAATCCAAATGTAGTCTGATTATGGTATCAAAGTAATTACAGTGTTTGCAATCCAAATGTAGTCTGATTATGTTATCATAAAGAAATCTAAATGTAATCTAAATGTAGTCAGATTACATTGCTATAAAGTAATCTATGCAATCCAAATGTAGTCTGATTATGCTACCATAAAAGTAATCTAAATGTAATTCAAATGTAGTCTTATTATGTTATCATAAAGAAATCTAAATGTAATCTAAATGTAGTCAGATTACATCGCCATACAGTAATATAAATGTAATCCAAATGTAGTCTGATTAAGTTGCCATAAAGTAATCTATGCAATCCAAATGTAGTTTCATTATGTTACCTTATATTAATCTATATGTAATCCAAAAATAGTCAGTTTACGTTACCATAAAGTAATCTAAATGCAATCAAATGTAGTCAGATTACTTTACCATAACAGTAATCTAAATGTAATCTAATTTGTGCCACAAAATGTAATCTAAAAGTAATCAAATGTAGTCAGATTACCATAAAGTAATCTATATGCACTCCAAATGTACTCAGATTATGTTATCATAAAGTAATCTATATTCAATCCAAATGTAGTCTGAATGCTATCATAAAAAATAATCTAAACTTAATCCAAATGTTGTCAGATTACGATACCATGAAGTAATCTAAATGTAATCCAAAAGCAGCCAGATTGTGTTACCATAAAGTAATCTAAATGTAATCCAAATTTAGTCTTTGTTAACAGTAAAGTAATCTAAATGTAAACAAAAAGTAGACATTTTAAGGTCAATCTACTAAATACCTGCAATGTGTGTCCCTCATAAATAATAATAATAAAAAAAAGAAATATAATCATTATATTGATACACTAATGTTCATGTTTGTTTGTGGTTGATGAGATTAGTCTCATTAAGTTAAGTCTTAGCAGTCATCAAGCCTACATTACTTTAATAAATACTTTAAAATAACTGATATATTCAGAAAATATTTAGAATTACTATTTATTTTTGTGCTGGAATGCTGAATTTTCACAAATCCTTTTAATATTTCATTCATTCATTCATTCATTCATTTTCTTGTCGGCTTAGTCCCTTTATT